GCTGTCCTCCACAGGTCCTGGGGGTGGCTTCGGGCTGGGGACTGTTCTGGCTCCGGCAGAGCCACTCTTGCTCACCAGTGCTGGGGGGCTGCATTTCCCTGGAGGCCCTTTCCACAGCAAGAGCAAGAGAGCTGTGGCTGGTGCAGGTGCCAGGGTGCTTCTCCAGCTCTGGAGCTGGCTCTGCTGCCACCTCCTGATCCCCAGGAGGACTGGCTGTGTCGCCCTGCATCTGCTGCTCTGGCTCCCTCTCTGACCAGGCGGTAGGGCTGGGATGCCCGTTGCGGTGTGTGGAAGACTGCTTGCCATCAGTCTCCGAAAGTATTTTTATACAAAATTATTTTAATATTAAAATCTGTATGTCTCAGAATGAAATGTTTGCCTGTGGCATGTCTGGGCCGTAAGGCATACGGATGGGGAGATGCTGGCGCAGGGCAGCCTGGCTTAGTGTTGACATGGTGGCACCTTCTTGTCTGTGCCAGAGCTACTGAGCTAAGAGGACACTGGGAAGAAAAGCATGTGCCAGGTTCAGCTGTGGCTAGGATGCCCTGATGCCAGGGAATTAAGGGATATGAGAGTCAAGCTTGCAAATACCTTTATGTGCTGATCAGGGCACAAAATCTTGTGATGGCCTAAAGACATGAAGGTCTCCTCCAAGTGTAAGGCTGGGCAGGGCCAGGCTCCAGCTCTGCTGCAGCTCAGACTGTTGATTAGTCACAGGATCCCTCTGCTGATTTCTGGCCCTTCTCAGCTGCTCTTGAAAGGCCTGGGATGGCCCAGTCTGGATCCCATTGGCTTTAAAGGCAAAACCTGAGATCCCTGCTGTGTGGTCTGAGGCCAGGGGTTTGGTTGCTGTGTAGCTAGCCTTGGGGAGAAGCCTATGCAGGGGGAAAAAAACCAGGCTATCCTTTTGGTGCTGGTAATAGTTTTAAGACAATTTATGTCCCTTCTGTGTGGGGCTAGATCAGACACTGTGGCATGGGCTGTTCCTGAGTCTGGATGGTGCTACCGATGACTTCTGTAGGTCTACCAGCCTGTTGATATAGACAGCAGCAAAAGAGCCAGCTGACAAACAGCATTATGATGTACCTGTGCAGAGGACTAAGCATGACTTCTTCAGCCCCAGGGAGCCACAAACCATTGGGGAAGTCTGATGGATCAGGTTCAGGTCCCCAGACTGGTGAGATGGTGACAAGGTGGTGAGCTCTGACTGGGCATTTGTCTGATGCCCATGTTGCAGGGGGAGAGCCTCAGGCCTGTAACAATACAGCGCAGCTGTAGCCGGGACCAATTTGTGGTTATTCTCCTGTGCTGAATCGTCTTCCCCACTGGGGTTTTGCTGCAGGAGAAGGGAAGAAGCCCCTTGGGAATCTGAGGAAGGCTGAAGCAGTTTCTGCCTGGCATGAGAGGCATGAGCAGCAGGCATCTGCTGCTTGCGGTTGGCTGCTCTGGGTGGTGTCGTGCTTGTGTTCCTGTCCATGGTGCATCCCAAGAGCAGTTCTGCCCACCTGTTCCAGAGAAGAGCTCTGGGCATTGTTTGGCAGGGACCCAGGCCACCTGCCCATAATCCTTGCTCGTGAGTCCAGTGTGAGACTTAAATGAAGATGAGCCTCCCAGGAGTGGAGCCGTGGAGCTCTCCCTTGGTATGGCCATAGGTATTTGTGCATCTCCATCGCTATGATCACTGTATCTCAGAGCGTCTGCTCTGTCCTGTGGAGCTGAGCGTGGCAGTCATGCAAAGATGCTGACCCAGCTTTCACTAAAGAGGATGATGGTGAGGAAGAAAAATGCTCCAGCATCCGTACCAGACCAGTAGTCCTTGCATTCTTCTTGGTTGGGAGGAAAGGATATTTATTTTTCTTGCTTCAGCAATGACATCATCTCTCATAACAGCTGACTCAGGACTAAGATGTAAGTGTGCAAGACAGGAGGAATGCTCCTACGTGTGGCCTGCTTTATTTATGCACCTTGCCACATGACAGAGAAGCGCATGCAGTGGGGAAGGCTTTTAGTCTCTGCTCATCAGGAGAGAGACTCCATTCTTTTCTGGCTTGGTGTTGTGGACCAGACCTGTCATCTTGCTCAGTCTGCTGCTCTGTACTTCACTTCCCTTCTTTCTGGCAGCAGTTCAGGGTGTAATAGATGCTTTGGGAAAGCATAAGAAATAAAGTAAATACAGAGCGAGCCTTTGGCTGGTCACAGCCTACCTGTTCCAAAGCAAAAGTCTGCAATAAACCCTGACTTTAGGACCAGGGATGATCTTTCTGGATTCTGCTTAGATTAGGATTTCTTCCATCTGCTTTCATAGAATCATGGAATGGTTTGGGGTGGAAGGGACCTTCAAAGATCACCTAGTTCTAACCCCCTGCTGTGGACAGGGATACCTTCTACTAGATTGAGTTGCTCAAAGCCCCATCCTGCCTGCCCTCGAACACTTCCAGGGATCCAGGGGCAGCCGCAGCTTCTCTGGGCAACCTGTGCCAGGGCCTCACCACCCTTATGGTAAAGAATTTCTTCCTAATATCTAATCTAAATCTACTCTCAGTTTAAACCTGTTACCCCTTGTCCTATCGCTACACTCCCCATCTTTCCTGTAGCCCCTTTAGGGACTGGAAGACTGCTGTAAGGTCTCCCTGGAGCCTTCTCTTCTCCAGGCTGAACAACCCCAACTCTCTCAGCCTGTCCTCATATGGGAGGTGCTCCAGCCCCCTGATTATTTTCATGGCCCTCCTTCTTTGCCTTTCCTTTGCCTCACTTTCACTGTCTCCTTACAACTCATTTCCATGTGTTGAACAGTTAGCAGCCACAGCTGGGATGCAACAGAAGCAGAAGTGTTGGTCTCTGTAGGTGAGGTGGCAGTTTTTACCAGGAGAAAATTACTTGGGAGCTGCTCAAAGCCCAATCAACCTCTTCCCCTTGGTGCTACCTTTTTCTGTTTCCTGTTCTGAAAGATACGTCCTTTTATAACTGCTACATCCTCCCTTTTAGGGTCTAGCGTGGTGCAGGCATGAGACAACTGTTCTGTCAGGACATCCATTCTCACGCTGGCATTAGGGAAAGCACCCAAGTTCCCTCTGGCTGTCAAGAGTCAGTCAGAGCAACTGCCCTGCTTCACACTGTGGTGATTGGGTAGAGGGCTTTTCAACAGGGACCTCCAAACAGGCCCAGTATTGTGATTTGCTTCCCCTTATAGTTCCTTTTCCCTCTTACCAAGTTTCCCCTTTAGCAGCTTCCTTCTATCAGGAATAAATCACAAGCCACTGTTTGTTTACCCCTTCCTATCAGCAAGGTGTTTTGTTGACTTTGTACCCCAGTTTGGTATTTATGATACGGTTGCCAAAGTAATTTTCACCTGCATCATCAGTTCAGTCAAGCTAATCCCCCCTCACCTACCTCCTCCCCCCCCATCTGCCTGATTTTGTCATTTTCATATTGTCTGGTTTGCAGACAGGCATTTGTATGTGCATGCCTGCCCTTTGCCACTGCTCCTTCCCCAGTTCCTCATGCTGTGAGCTTGTTGGAGACAGGCAGGGATTAGGTACCTGCTTGCACACCCTAACAAACCCATATCCCTGTGCCTGCAGGGCTGTCTGCTCTGTCCTCAAGGTGCCTGACCTTGACATCTTACCCCGAGCAGTTGCCCGAGATGCAGCCTCCTGCCAGGAGGCATGGAGTGCTGCCAGGGCATGGGAAGAGCAGGTCCACGTCCTGGGTGGCTAGCAGGGCCTGTTACTGAGCTGGCATCCCAGGGAAAAGAGACGGCTCTGCTGGCTCTGCTCTCCTGCTGTAGCAGTGCCCCCAGGGGCGTGGTGTTTGCATTGTGCCCTTGGTCAACTGCAGCTGTTTCTCAGGAAGTACAGGTCAGTGCTGGGATTGCTGCATAGAGGACACGTTATAAACTACAGGCAGTAAGCGAACATTCTGGTGGATAACTTTATTTTGAAACAGCTTGTCAGAACAAAGTAAGTAGAACTTTGTAAGCACCCTCCTGGTGCTTAGCATCCAGGAAGCCCCGTGAGACCACCCCACCTTGGCTCAGTTGAGTTGCCCTCAGCTCCTGCCCTGCCCAGGGGCATCTGTCCTGTGTCTGCACTGAAAAACAGGCTAGCATCTGTGCAAGTACTGAGCAGAAGCTCTCTGGAAAGCTCGAGGCCAACTCCCCCCCATCTTCTGAATCCTGCCAAAAAAGTACTTGTGTTGGCTTGTAGAACAGCCCCATGGGCACAGATGGGCCATAAGGAGGAGAGCATCCAAGCAGCAGTTGGCTGGGATTATGGTGCTGTGCTGCAGCTCCAGCTGTGGTGAGCTGTCACTGTGTAGGAGCTAGCCGGGGCATTACAGCTGGCTTGGCACTTGCTACAAACCCTTTCAGTGAGCTAGGGAGTTGGACAGTGAGACCAATTATGGAAGCAAGCAAATCGGCGGCATCGTGGGTAGTGCTGCGCTCAAGAGGGCAGCATTCTGGGCATTAAGATTAAGTTCAAAAGCCCTGTTTTATGCTTGCTGAACCTGCTCCTGCAGGATGAGTGCAGCTTGATGTTACTGCCTACTTTATCTGACTTCCTCACTGCCCTGCTTGCAGCTTTTCTGCACCTGCTGACAGTAATCTGTGGTTTGTGGCCTGTACTAGCCTAGTCTCAGAAACCAAAATTTGAGGTGTGCTGGTGATGTGTGCTGACAAGAATGGGGAATACGGGGTGTTGCAGGGGATAGGTGAATCTCTAGACAGAGGGCCCCAGAGGAGCAGGCTTCCTGCGGACTGACTTGTTGACTAACAAAACCATAAAACGACAAGGAGGAACAAAGGATGGGAAGTGCCTGTCTCACCAAGGCCAAGCTTAGTGTCTTGCCCAACCACTTCCGGCCTGGTGTGTAAAGCTTGGCAGCCAAGCAAGAAGCCAAGCTGTGACTGCACGTGAGCAGGCTCAAGCAGTGCCCTGGGGTTCACTGCAGGAACTCGTCGTACTCTTTGGGGAGCAGGGAGCGCTCACAGGAATCTCTCCTCATCGCTGCTGGTCTGAACACTTGGACAGGAGAAGGAGCCATCAGAAGGGGTGCCACCATGGCTTTGGCTCTGCTCTGATGCTGCAATACAGGGACAAAATACGGATGTACCTTGTGGAAGGAGGCACTGACTTGTCCAACAAGCGCACTGTCTGATTGTGTCTGCATGTGCCAGCTGTTCCGCATCCCTCTCTTCAATTGCATGAGCTTATGCTACGCCCATCCCCCTGCTGCAAGTGAACGTTGCCGCTGCCGTATGCTGCCTTCCCTGTACTGCTGGGTTATCAGGGAGCTGCCCTCAGCCCTTCCACAGGAAGCAGACCAGAAGGGCAGAACAGAGACTATCAAGGCCAGGCAAGGGCAAGGGACGTACCTGCTTGGGTTGATGCCGCTCTGGTCGCTGGTCTCTGGGCTGGGCCTGCTGCCTGTGCAGAGGTTTGTACAACAGATTCTTCAGGTATTTGTAGAGGTTGCTTTTTAGGTGCAAGGGGTTATAAGCAACTTCCACTTCCAGGCTGTTCAGGGCACTCTGCTCAGACAGAAAAAAAGAACATAGTGGCTATGAGATGTGACAGGTAGAGGCTGTGGGATTTGCTTGGGTGGGGTTTTTTTGTTGTTCATTTTAGTGTCGAGGGCTTTTTTTGCAGGGATGAGTGTTATAGACACTCCGTGCCACCCTGCAGTGATGGGAGAAGGGATCTTTGGCTGCGCTGCTGCCCACAAGGACTGCTCTTAGCTGTGTACAGAACAAGAGGCATCTGCAACCAGGTCTTAATAGATTTAAGCATTTCCTTGCAGGATGGAGACCTATCCTCCCCCATAACCAGGATCAGCCTACAAGCTGGAACACCCTATCTGAGCACTATCACCCCCAACTCTCGGCTTTGTAAGGCCTCTTCCCCCTCTGCTCAACAGACATGCAACATTGCTCCGAAGGACAGGCATTTGCTGTCTGTGAAGAAAGCTGTAGGGTATGTTGGCTGCTGGGAAGAAGTTTTGGAGTGCTCCATCGTATTCCAGCTGTCACTAGACATTTTCACAGCTGTTTCCTCCTCTATTGCTAAGACCTATAGCAAGGGCTGTGCTCTTCCTGGCATCACTTGAAGCAGAGGCAGATAACTCAAGGGGAGAACATATGGATGCACAACTGGAACTGCAGAAGTCTGAATCTATTGGAAGAAACAGAGACACTTTATGTATTGATTTATCTTATGCCTAAAGCACCTCTCTCTGCAGTCTGCAGAGATCCATGTTCCCCAGCAATGAGGGAGATAGATACATCTTCAGCAGCAGCTGCGTGTCCTGTCTGTAAAGGCTGATCATTACTCTAATCCCTGCAGGTATGACTGGGACCTTTCCCACGTGTATTTGTGCAGGGCTGTCAATAACTTACCTCTATAGGGCCATGCACTCTCTCAGGATGTTCAGCAAGGAGGGCTGGGAAGGTTGATGGCAGCAAGAGCTCTCTGATGGCGACTGCTTTGACAAGTAGAGTGGCAGAGTCAGAAGGGACAATGACGTAGTAGGAATGCACCGTGATGTTCCAGTTTGGAGTTGTGTTCTGTGGCTCACGTCTGGCCAAAAGCATCCATTTCCTTTTCTAAATGGCAAAAGCCAAAACCGATGTGAACAGTGGGCAATAGCCACTTCCTTCAGCACTTTCACTGTAGGGGCTGCTGGGTTCGGGAGCAGAGACATTCATACACATCAGAATAAGAACACTATTCTGCATTGAGGATAGTATATTATTTGTTTGTTTGTTTTTAATTGAATGCAAGACAGTTATTAAGAAAAACATCTAATTTTGCTTTATGACTTGGCAGTGATGGAAAGTCCTCCACTTCCAACCCTTGGTTAATTATTTTCACAAAGATGCACACTAACCCCAACCCTGATTTTTGCACTTCATACCTCCAAACACTGGATTTCTGATAGGCTAGAGAGTCTTCTCTAAGGTTTGATGTGCTGTAGTGTCATTCCAGTGGATGCACTGGCTGAAAAGATTTACAAGCCCAACTCTGACCCATGAGATGAAACTGCAGCTTTTGAAACATGTTTTCTGGCACAGGCTAGACAGATCTTACTAGATGTGCACTAACTAGTTCTGTCTATGGCAATCCCTCCCCATGAGACTGCAATTTTCACACACTCACCAGAAGACTATGACATAGAGCATGGAAGCTGTGCTGGTTTATCTCCAGTTCATCCCAGTCTAGCTGCCAGCAGCTTGTGGGCCTGATAATGAAGGGCAGTCCATACAGTACAGACTCACAGACCCCCTCAGATTTCAGAGCCCTGCAAGTATACAGCTCATGTTAGATAAGCACAGCCAACATGAAACTAGCAAGAAGACTCTACCAGGAGATGACTAGCTCAAGTGGCTATGGCAGTATCAGCTGCAATACTGCTACAAGCACTTCATGTCTGTATTGCTGTGGCCTGTCACTATGAAACCTTGCAGAAAAAGTTCAACTGCAGTGAAAAGAGGCTTTCTTGCTGATTTCCAGATTCCCTTGTATCTGCATTGACAAGAGCATGCCGAGAAACAAATCTGATCTTCATGCATTTTGTAAGTAAACCAGATTGTTAATCTAGCCTCTTGGGCAATAACTCACCCAGGCAATTACGTCTCTTCCTAAGTAATTTTTACTAGATGGTGGTTATCCTTCATTTAAACTGACATGTGCCCTACTCCTGCACAGAGCCAACATCCCACCACAAACACCACTACGGACTTGACATTGCCTGTCCACAGCACACTTCTGCTTCATGACAGAACATTATTAAGTAGCTTCAGTGCTTTGGCTGTGGGCCATTTATGGACGATTACTGAGTCCTCTTCAGCTACTGACAGGATGAGACTCATTTTAAGAACATCTGTATAGTTCAGAAATTACAGAATATTTTTCCTATAAATAAACCTCAGAAAAGATGCTAGAGAGCATCACTCTTGTTACGCTCTGTGCTTACCAGCCATAGACTGCTGACGGAAAGAGAATAAATTCTTATGTTGAAGCCACACAGCACTATGAGGCTTTGCTTGCTTTTTTGCTACTAGTCAACTAATTAGCTCAGGCTCCGACATCCAGTTAACTGCTGTGGCCGCATCAGGTAGTGAGAGAACAGCAGAATTATATATGGAGCAATGGCTGCAATCTACAGAACTTCACACTGGAGGGAAACAACTCTTGCATGAGTCATATCTATGGTGTTACACTCATAAAGTGCTAGTGTCACGGTAATGGTAATACCATTTTTGACTCTGTGCTCCTTTCTGCATGTGTGGGATGTGCTGTTCCATAACACTAAGAGTTATGGGGGTTGAGGGTATCTTACATCAGAATTTTGCTCGCTAGCACTTTGAGTCCCATAGCACTTTATGGTGATGTTACTAGGTCCTAGCTGAAACTGCACAGAAAGAATGAAGGCTGCTATTACACCAGCCTTCCAGTTACCAAGTGCAAAGCATGTAACAACACTTACTTTACAACCTGGAGTTTATGCAGCACTGTAGCTGGCCAGGCTGCCATCTGGCAGGGTGAATTAAAATCTGCTGCTCTCATGGTGCCATCAACTGTCCCAGAAAGTAGAGCTGGGTCGAGCAATCTCTCCTGCAGATCGCACTTCAGGCACACTAGGAGAAGGAGATTGGTTTAGATTGCTGGAAATGGCAATGTTTAGCACATGATGTGCTCAAAGCACTTACAAACACAAAGTTAATGTTTTCTAGCAACAACAGCTATTAAGGGAAGAACAACACTAAAGCCTGTGACATCTATCCCCATTTTACACGTAAGGGGAAATACCACATGCTTGGCATGTTAATGAAACAATGATTGGTTGGTAACTGGGCAGGCAAGTTCCAGTTTTGGGAATGAGTGGCCAGGTGTAGAGAGAGCAGAAGCTTGTTTCCCAATGCCACATTGGGTTCAGGGCTACACATTTCCTGCCAGCTTTTCTATCTCTGCGGAAAAACCCAGCGCACTGATGACACCAACTCTGGTATAATACCATATATAGCTGCATATAATTTCTCCAGCCTTCTACAGATTTCTTGAGTGTGGGAAGGTTAAAAAAAAAAACACCTGACTGCAGTGTAACTTGGTTTGTCTTGCTAGCTATAGTAAGACAATGCATCAAGTATGAAGTCAATGTTGTGATGAAGGAAAATCCACTTTTAATAAAAATAGCATAATTGCCTGTGCTGGTCAGGAGGCTGTTATGGTAGCTACTACATAAATAAAAAGCCACACCAGGCTTTCCAATCTGCTTGCTGTGGAGTGTATCTGCAAAAGCCACCAGCAACTCTGTATGAGCTTTGCTTCCAGTCTGGAACTGGCCTGTGGATCACCAGAAGAAAACAGGTGTGCTTCTGCTGCAATGGTAATGGGAAGCTGCACATGAGTACCATACTGGAGCAGCGTGGAAAAGGGATTGCCGGAACTGCATGTGCAGAGTCTCATGGCAGTGCAATGGTGACAACACAGTTAGCAACAACTTACAGGAAACACCTATGTCTACTGTAGTTGTTGGTGTTTTCAGTGCTCACCCGAGGATGGATTAGGGATTTGTACTTAGACCGGTAAACGAAAAAAATAATTACATACTCCTTATAAATTTTCCCATGCATGATTATAACTGTTGGCAGCTCCAGCTAGAACATTAGCTATTTTAGTGCTAAATCAACAGATATAAATACAAGCCAAGTCCCTTTGTAAGACAGCCTTTATTTAAGTGCAGCTCTGGCACAGACTTTTAGTATCAAACACAAGGAACACAATTTTTAGGGCCATACAACTGAGCCAGGAGGTCCTTGGCTCTCAGTATGTAAGGCCCCTTTACCTTGACCAAGGAGTTATAAATTCACATACTCTTCAAGGCACATTTTTGCTGCAAAATGAAAATGAATTATAGCATCAGCAGCCACAGGACATGGCAGCAACCTAGAAGTATTCTAAGCAAATGGCCCCTCTCAGCCTGAGACAATAGAAACTCCAGACAGCTTTCAAAGTTACCCAGAGACCTTACTTGGGTCTCTAAACGTGAGGGAACATGCCCATAGGACAGGCCTGGGTAATCTTTAAGGCTGTGGTATTTAGGAACTCCCAGCAGAGGGGGAGAGAAAATGAAATACTTAGGGTGGTCTTAGGTGCAGTGGCATGGTTGAAGCCTCCTGATGGAAGGAGGAGATGGAGGTGTTCTCTCTCTGTGCCATAGTCATGTAGCCATGTTTTAAACAGCATCTCCAAGCTGATGACATTGTCCTCTATGGTTTGCACCTCGATGTCCATTCCCAGGATTGCAGTATCTGCAGGAAAAAAAAGGTGGAAAAGAACAAATCTTTTCAGCCACAGAAAAGAACATTCTTTTGCATTTTCCACTACACCTCCTTAGTCCCTCAAGTGCTTTTGCATAAGTGCTTCAGAAGCCATTACCAGCAAATCACAGCACAGCACTGTGATGCCAGCCCTCTTAAAAGGACATTGCTAGAAGATAAGCTGCTCCACAGGCCACACCAACACCCTTCTCATCAATGGGGTGGGTGAACTGGCTACTACCATCTTCAGAGGACTAGCTGTGACCAATGCAAACCATCCTCTGCTGTGGTCATCCTAGCACGGGCCTCAGAGACTCTTTTCACAATTTTAAACCACTTCTGCCCTTTCCCTAAGCAAGGGACACTGGATATGGGATGCTATGAGAAATCAGAGACTGCAAAACTGAAATGGTATACTAATGGCGAATTTTGTAGTAGTGATGGAAAGGTACTACTCCTCAGACAGAAGATGAGCATGACTTTGCAATATGGCCCCATGACTAAATTGCTAAATATCCTCAATGTGCGTTTAAAGGAGCAGCTAGTCACAGCACTGAGAAGAACAGAAGCAAATCTTGACCTGGACCTGACCAACACAGAGGATGTGTTTCAACACGTTGAAGTGCTGCCTGGTAACAGCAATCCCACAGTAGAACATCCTTACAGATACAACAACAGTCAAAATGATCCACCACCATTACATTTCATTTCAAAGTGAAATGCATAAAATTTAGAGACTTGTTAAAAAGAAATTAAAAGGAAAAAGTAAACATGTTTGCAAGGACACAAGTATTTAAATTACCATGTTGGAGGTGCAGAGCAAATGTATATGATCTAGCAACAACATTTAGGAAGGGAGAAATGTAGGTTAGACAGCAGAGTTAGGGAGGTTAAGATTAAACGCTTGCAAAAAATCAAACCAAACCAAAACCACCAAAATACCCCTAAATAATAACTCAAAGGTGCATCCAAATGAGAAGCTAGCATAAAGTCTAGCAGATTAAATAAATAAAATTTAAAATACTTAAAAGTGAAAAAAAACAATCTGCAGAACGCATATAGAAAAAAGCCAGTATCTATATCACGTACAAATATTAACTTTCATTAGCAAATGGTTTGGCAATGCTCAGATGCTTTAAGTGTTTGTAATGCGGTAGGGGCAAGAAAGACATAATAATAAATCTCATGTTATCAATTAGAGGCCAGTCCACTGCAGTCTATCGATTACTCCCACACACTATTCCTGCCACAAATGCAGTATGCATTGCTCTCTTTATGGGATTTATATTATATCATGAGCTCTGCTCCAGGCTACAGTCTGACAAGCCCTAATGTTTTATCATTAAAGAAACATTGCAGATTTAGTCTCTGACCCACATAGGAGATGCTTTGCAGTTTTGAAAAAGCAATCCTGGATGCTTGTCACATGGTCTTTGTCTAGAAATGCAGTCTCCCAAGGAGGTTGCTCTTGTGAAGAAAACAGCAAGCCTTTTTCATCCACAACAGGCTGTTCTTAGCACATTCAAAGCTATTCTAAGACTTGCCAACTGTGGGGCTTCAATATATTGGAGTCTTTTCTAGCTGCATTAACCTGGAAATGAGCCTATGAGAGGGGATATCCTGAGCCTGCCTTCCTTCTTTCAGTAGCACAGAAAATTGTAACTGCATGTTTGGTTTTTGTTGGTGGGTTTTGTTTTGTTTTGTTTTTTTTTCCCCCCCTCCCTGCTATGGTAAATGAGAGAGGAAATTTTCTGGGTGGGCTGAAAATCAGGTGCTTTCTCAGGATGCAGATTTTGCATCTCCATATCTTCTTGGCTTTGGAGGAAGCAATTTGTAGTCTAGTACTATGTGACAGTAAAATAACACAGATAACATTCATTAATGGTCCAGTAGGAACCCTTGCAGTGGATTAGGATCTCACTGCAGGAGCTGCAGTATAAGCAAGGCAATGAGCTTTGAAGGTCTTATGGTCCAACAGAAGATCCAAAAGAAGGAAGCAGGCTAATACCATATACTCCATTGGAGTCTAAGAAGAAAACGCAAGCTTCTCACAGAATTGTCCATAAGAGTGTCTTGAAATCGTGCAATACAAGTCCATTTTATCTGGCAAGATAACCAAGTGACACGTCTCATTGAAAGCCCGAGCCAAGTGTCACATCTGCTACTCCCTAATGGCTAAACCTCCAGCTTGTTGTCTGTGCCTTCCCCAGTACAAGTGTCCATTTTGAATACTCAGCAGCATATTCAACACTATGGGTATTTTCTTCTTGCATCAATGGAAACTTCCAGCCTTGACCAGATATTTAGCAAGCGCATTTTAACAAGGCTGTTTCTGTGTACCTAGCTTTTGTCAAAGATGACTGCTTCATAGAGACAGGGAACAATTGCACAAACATGTCCCAAACCTTGTTTTTTCCTCACGCTCATTAATTAGAATTGGCCTTATGCCCTTAAATTTCACTTCCAAAATTCCTTAGAGGGTTGGGACAGGAGACGGGGAGAAAAGCTAAGTATTTAATTCCAATAGCTATATCTCAACAGAGGTTTGTTACTCACATAAATGGTCTGCAGATCTACAGTACTTCTTTAAAGATCAAAAGAGATGATAGACCATATAGCACTAATTTGCATGTTAAGTGAAAACAGGCTCACTTTTTCTTTTCCCAGGGTAGTGTGAGCCCAGACCAGTTTCTTGATATCGAAGTTTTGATGGAGGAATGGAATGGAGGGATTTAGGACTGTTTATTTCAATAACAATGGCTTATGCAGTACACAAAAATTACAATTTTTAGTTGTTCCTGGAAATTTTGGCAACTTCTTTCATTCCAGTATGCCCTGAATACCAAGTCATAATTGTTAACCAAGTCTCAGAGCTTCTAAACATCCTTTTATCTAAAAAAAGAAAAAAATAGTCAAACTTGCAAAACAACTTTTAAACATAGAAGATCACAGAAGATCTAAATATAAACATGATGTATGAACATAGTTCCCAGCTCCTTAATTCTTAATTTAACTGTTTTCCTGTGGTATAGCTTTTATATGTAGGTATATATGTCCAATAATCTCAGTTTTGTTATCGAAGTCTTAAAACAACAACTGTGTTATAAGTGTCAGAGAGCGTGGGATTGTTTCTCCCTATCACACTGTGATAGCAGTTCTCAAGCAATGTAACATCTCTTGCTATATTTGCTGAAACACTTTTGTTAGCTGTTGCAAGTTTCTTCAGTGAAGCAGACTGTCTAGTAAATGTTTTCAGTTCATATAGTAAGCTGTTAGGATACTTCTTCCATTTCTAAAGGAAGTTTTTGTGATGCTTTTCAAAATGTCATTTAAGAGAAGTATACTGTGCTATTAAAACATAATAAAGGCAAAGCTTTGTTTCCTTTTCAATCACTCCATGTTCAGCAACAGCCATTGTTGGAAATCCCACATCCTGCATGGGATTTTCACTAAGTTTACTCTTTTTTTCTGCCTTTTCCTAATATATTTAGTCTGTGCCATTTCGATGGTCACTAAAGTTTGGTTTAAATACACATATGATGTTCACCACTACCTAACTCATACTGTAAACATTTTTGCAAACTATGCTTAAAATTTCACTGTTGTGTCACCTTAAATAGTGTAACCGCACATAGTGAAAGAAATTATCAGCTTGTTTTTGAGGTTTGGAGAGAATAAAACTCAGCACTACTGTTGCATGCAAAAGAACTGCCTGGCTGCACTAATGTTATACCTGAGTACTTGCCTGTTACTTCCATTCAGGGACTCTGCTGGTAACAAATCTTGTGTCCTTGGGTGAAAAAAAAAAATTTCTAGTAATAATCAAGAGCTACAGCTCTTCATTGTTAGAGTCAGTCCACATTTCTATTGCTTCCAAACTTGGCATTCGTGCTAATGGGTGGCTGTTGCTGTTCTGTAACAGACTTCACCTTATTTCTTTACCTTAAAATTAGATGTCTTTCTAAAGGTTCTTGATTTTCCAAAAGCTGTGGGCTTGATTTAAAAATCTAATCAAACTGTACCCCCGTGTTATGAAGGGAACAAATTTAGGTCATATTCTTGAAGTCTGTCAGTATTTAAAAGATGAAACAAAAAATCCTTTATGCTGGTTGTGTAATGGCCAAGAAAGTTATCTCCCAGAGGAAATATGACATACAGTCTGTTAAAAAGAAAAGATTAATGCATCCAAGTTAACTGGGAAAGACAGGTGAAACACCACACAGACCATTCTGGTCTATTCTACCAGGTCAGTCATTACAGACAGATGGTGGATGTATTTATGAAAGATGGGTGAAGCTAGGAAAATATGTTCCTGTTGTCCTTGAAATCAGGAGTTGTGGATATTAAGTCAGGAGAAAAACAAAACCTTGATTTTAAGTACGTTTTAACAGAATGTTCTGGAGAAGCAGAATGTTGGGCTTAGAGAAGAATGTGTCAGGATTACTCCAGTGAATGTCTGAAGTCAGATATGGAGGCACTCAGCCCCTTTATACTCAAGAAACATCCATACAAGAGAAAGGGGAGAGATGCCAGCAACAGCGGCCTCCTACCAACCCTCCTGCCTGACAGGAAGGCTGTTTTGAAAGTAATACCCAGAGTAGCTGGATAAAAAAAAAATCAGTGTGTGGTCTGGTCAAAAGGTACATCAGAGCTTCCTGATTTGGGGACCTGATCCAAACCATCTCTTTTGAAAATTTGGGGCAGTGAAATGAAAGAACTTTGCTAGCAGGACACAGCTAACTGATCCTTACAAAGCAGAATATGAGGTCCAGCAGCTGGAACAGCAGAAAGAGACAGAAGCCTACAATGGTATAAAGACTTTTCGTGAAACCCAGTCAGAAAATATTTCCACTCTCATTGGTACACATGGAGGCCATTAACTGTTAAGACCTCAAGAAGAGGACGATAGAGCCAACGAAGAAAAGAGCTCAAACTCTACCAATCTAACATTAAAGCCCTAGAGCAGGTCAGAAGAGATGTTGAGAGCAATTTACCAAAGCTATTACAAATAGGTTACTTTTTTCAGGCTAATCAGATTCACAACATTTTAAGATCTCTGAGCTCTGTGGTAGAGCTATATAAAACAATAACAGAAAAATTAAATTGGAAACTGTCATTTGCTTCCAATAAGCTGAGATGGAGAGGGCTCAAAATTAATTTCTCAGGCAGAGGATTTAAAAAGAGATGGTTTTTTGGTGTACTACAAATATAAATGCAGGATGCAATGTCACAGCAATGCTCTGGATATTAAAAATGTAAGTAGGTTCAAACAGCCACTAAACAAACTAATGGAAGAAATACCCACGGTGGGACGAACCTCATAATTAAGTGCTGCATCACAATGTTTATTTTGTAGTGGGGGATGGGCTGCAGTTGAACACAGCACTAATTCTTGCACTTCCTGCATGATAGATCTTGCAACTTAAATGTTCTTTACTGTAATTTTTTTAATCCTTTTTTTTGTTTTCCAGAAACAGAGGAAAGGAGCTCCAACAGATAAAAAATCCTCTTCATAAATCAGTTGCACTCCTTTTTCAAATTATTTGGACTATCCATTCCCTGATGCTCCTCTTAGAGAGTAAATACATCATCTAAGTCTTCTCATAAGTAGAAGACTCAGAAAATTACAACTTTATCATCTGAAATTTCAATGGCCTTTGTGTCTCTGTTTATGTTTTCATTCCATTTTTTGGGTGAAAGGGCCACACTTCACTTTTAAACACAATATGGTGGGGTTTTGCATGCTCTAAAGCAGTCTTGTGACTGAGAGGCACACAGCATCTCCTGTTCTATGGTGTCTAGTTTTCCAAGGCTTGCCCGCAGGGTTCTGTGCAAAGTGCTTTTCATGCAAAGTGCTGACTAATCCTCTTCACTTGAGAAGCCAGCATTTGCAGCCACCCAAAATACTATCCTCTTCCCATATAGACAAGATTGGTGCTTTTAAAGAATACCTCAGCCTTGCAGCTGTAGACAACAGTTACTTCCACAATTTTGTAACTCACAGTTTTGGTGCGGTTTTGGCATATTAAATTAATTCTAAAGTTACCTCACAGTGACATAACCTTGCTAGATCCTCTTCCTTAGGACTCACTGTCCCCAGTGTTAGTGGTAACGGTGCTGGTCAGAAAGGGAAGGGGCGAAGGGGCTCTCTTTCTCCCGCCAAGCATTTTACCTGCAGAGATGAGTGCTCTCCCCGAGGCTTCTGTTTTTGAACAGGCAGAGTACACAATAACCCCTTCAGGGCAGGAAGCTTTTAACGGGTAGTGAGAGGGTTGATATACCTCTAAGTGCTTGATTATACAACTCAGTGTTTGATTTGGTCTGCCACCAGACTAGTGGGATGCAGAAGCAGCAGAGAGAGCAGTCATGTCTGTAGCAAGATGCGGTCAGAAAGGGAAGGGGCGAAGGGGCTCTCTTTCTCCCGCCAAGCATTTTACCTGCAGAGATGAGTGCTCTCCCCGAGGCTTCTGTTTTTGAACAGGCAGAGTACACAATAACCCCTTCAGGGCAGGAAGCTTTTAACGGGTAGTTAAAACGGGTAGCAGTCATGTCTGTTGCAAGATGCACCTAGTCAGTGCTGTGCTGCAGATGGGAGAAAACCGGCATAAACTCCTGCTATTTAGCAGTCATTTTATCAGCCTTGAGAAAGAGCCAAAATAAGTGAGCAGGTTTGAAAGTTAGGTAAAACAAAATACAGAAATGAAAGTTGCAGTTATAGCAGCATTACAATGGACAGGCTTCTACCACTGAACCATTGTGGTACTGGACTTCTGATCACCATCTGGCTGGTCAGCACCTTTTGCTTTGAAACAAAAAGGTTCAAAACAGGAGCTAACAGGAATTTATCTTTCTGAATTTCTTATTAATGTAGCTTAAATTCTAACTGCTGAAAACTGTCAGATTAAGGGGAGTTCTTCCGAGATATACATGGCCTGGAAAAGTAACATTCAGGGTCTGGCATGTACTCACTCTTTCACTAATGAAACACGTGGCCAGGTGTGCAAGGGACGGGGGAAAAGGAAATCTGCAATCCACCTAAACATTCCCAGCCCCTACTCTGCCAATTCACTAGAAATTTGCTACTGCAATGAGAAAAGAAGAACAGCTAGAGACAGATAAGGCAACAACATCCAACATTGCCTGTCACTTAGTAAAAAAATATTGCCATTGCTAGTAACAGGCTAACTTTGCAAGGCATCAGGACTGAGGTTTTTAAGCTTGTTATCAACTCGTTGTGAGAACCTGCTGTGTGAATCAGAGCTTGGTACCAGGTGTGTCTTCTTGATGGGGAGTTTAAGTGGAGACCGGGATTGGAAAACAGAGACTGCAGGTCTACAAAGAACTCATTGATGTGCAGTTAGTGAAGAAGTACAACCTTAAGTGCTCAAGAAAAAATGACTTAAGCATACAGAAAAGCAGCAGCAGTGTAAACAAGAACAATATCAGTGACAAAAATCAACTAATCAACAGGGTAGGTACCTGACTTGGTCTGGGAAAGTAACTCTTCCCAGCATTGTGCAATATGTAGCCTGGGGGAAAGTATTAAAGGCTAAGAATTATCTAGAAACCAAACATCTTGTAAAAGGACAAGATCTTCAGCTGGTGAGGGGGAGGAGGAGGTTATTACTGTAGGATCTTTGAAACTGTAAACAGCCTGCCTACTTCTTTTTTCCTTTCCTTGTGCCTGCTTCTCTCTCCCCCGACTATCTGCTTCAACAATTCTGGTTGCCTCTGCCTGCACCAAGGACATTTTGATCAGCCAGTCAGTTGCCCAGGGTGATGTCAGTAGTATGACTATGTGTGTCTGAGATATGCATAAACTCTGTGTATTGTGCATTAAGTCAATTTTAAGTAACACCAAGAGATTCAGTTATGCATGAAGTCTCTGTTGCCCAAATGTGATAAAGCCCAGAAGTGCTGTGGTACAAACTTTTTGCTCTTCCTCCAGGCACAGTAGCTCCCACTTACACGAGTGATGCTAAATGGTGAAAAGAAAGTGGCATATATCGGACCAAAGCAAGAACTAGTGGCTGTCCTGCTGTCCAAAGCCATAACTTCCCCGAGTACCCTGTCTGTCTTATACTCACCATTGCTGCTGTGCTCTTCTGCTGGCATGCACTGTTCCACATCCTCAGGCTCCAGAAAGTCCCTCTTCAAAACCTCAATGACTTGTATTCTTCGCAGACTCACAAGGTCTACATCTTTTAATTTCTTTTCCAGCTGCTTTACCATTTCTTTGCTGGACTGGCTAGTCAAAATTGTGATCTGAAACACAAATCAGTGTGTGCAAGAGGCTGCCTTTACCCTAATCCTCCCTGGATATGCAATGATGCCTGGTCTGTTTGAATAGCACAGATCCCACTATGGAGAGAGGAGAGAAATTTCACTGAAATCTCTCATCTATTCAAAAGCAGATTTAAATGCTTTTTTTTGTTTGTTTGTTTTAAAGCTTTGGCTTATATTTAAGCCAATATGAAATGGATTGAGAGGAACGCCAACAGGTTTTGTGCTGCTGCTGAAAGAAGATGGAACAATCCACAACTGTCTTGTATTCTATTCTTTGTGCTTACGGTCAGAGCTATAGACAGAGCATTTGCTACATCGATGCACCTTTATTTCATCAAAACCATAGCTGCATTACATCTGAGCCTATCACCTCCAATTTACCCTTTTCACAGCATGAGTCACACCAGCACATTCTGGTCAAAGACTAGGAGAAATATTTGACCACATATAAAAACTGAGGTAGCTACTGTGACTTCCCTTCATATTACCACAGTTTCTAGATATAATCCCTTAATGCCATTACATTTCCTAATCTGACAAAAAATGGGCTACTGGTGACTCGAAAAATGTTTTTCATCCTGTTGCAGATTGGCCACATTTCCTGCCCTGTCGCTGCTGCTGAGACAGCTTTGCTGATGTTGGTGGGTTTTCCCCTCTGAAGTCAGGATCTCAAAAGAGTAAGTATTTTCAATACTTCTAACAAATATTTGAGTTTTAAACGATTGCAGGTTATAACAAAGTCAGCCTCCTATGCTTACCAGTCAGCTAGGAATATTCTTGCCTCTTTGTGGTTTAATTGTTAGAAAAATGCACATTTGCCTAAAGACTACAACCAAGTTGCACAAGTAAATGGCCAGTGGTGCTCTTGTACTATACACACTGGCCATCGTGGTCTCACGCTAAAGAAACTGGCTTTGTCAACAGATTCCAGCATGCTGTGTTTCTTCATCCTACTGCTGTTCATAGCCC